CGGGGTCTGCACGGGGCTGGGGCCATAGCCGTGAGGCTTTCCCTGGCCCTGCAGGGCCGGGACTGGAGCCCCACCCCCGTGGCTGCTCCCACCTGTGCAGGACTAGAGCTGGAGCTTGTGCTGCCCACGGTGCCAGCTGTAGTTGGGCAAGAAGCCCAGCCAGGTTGTGGTGGGAGGGCGAGGCAGGGTTGCCTGCTGGGGTAGCCTGCTAGCCGTGGGTGATGAGCTTGGGGGACTGTGGCAGGAGACCTCCCCTGGTCCAGCAAATTCTCTCTTTCAGGATCTGTCAGGTCGCGATGATGCTGGACCACGGAGGTCCAATCTGTACTAACAGCTAGAGAGATACATAGCAAGCTATATTTGGTGTTGGCAAGTCAACTGTTGGGATTATGAGAGTGGGGCTTTGTGAAGCAATGAATGGTGTGGTTTACATAGGAGTGGTGAACTTAAGAAATGTTTCTGAACATAATAGCTCGTTTTCAGAGGATGGGGAACTCAAACTGCACTGGCGCACTCTGGGATGGGTTCCCCTCAGGGTTCCACCTGGAACTGGAGTACCACTGAGCCTCTCACACCCACCAGCCTGAGCTGCCTTTTACACTGTACTTCTGTGACAAGTTGCAAAGCTCTCTCTACATATAAGAACACACCCATCTTCAGTTACATGCAGGCAGGTTCTGCATTTGAAGGCTTGAGCTAGGGCACCTCCCGGTTCCTCAAGCCCAAAATTAAACCCAAAATTATACTGTCTTGCACTGTACAGGGAACTGTAATGTGTAAGATCATAAAATTTGCCCCTCAGTGTGAAAAGGAATATGCAACAGCCTTTTGTCTCAAGTTATGATTTACACACTGGTTTAGACAAAGCAAAAATGAGTTTATTAATACAAAAGATAGATGTTAAGGGGTTAGCAAACAGATCAAGGCAGATTACCTAGCAAATAAACAAAAATGCAAATTAAGATTAATATAAATAGATCCAATGTTAATAGTGGATTCTCAGCCTATGTGATGATACAAGCAGGCTGCAGATTCTTAAGGGGCAAACTACACTTGCAGCTTGGAATCCCTAGTGCCAGCTGTATGGGCCTTTGCTTGGTCACATACATACAAAAGAAGAAATCACTGCCTAGGAGGGGGAATTGTTGAAAAGGATCTAGGGGTCATAGTGGATCACATGCTAAATATGAGTCAGTTTTCCCACCAGTTGAGACAAGTGGGTGACGTTTTCTGCTGTAGTAAGCTTTGGAGATTGTGACATTTTACTTACTTCCAGTGCATACTGATGAAGTAAGAACATTTATATCTGGAAGGGCAGAAAGATATGAGTACAGGGAATTGTGGCATGGGAGTGGAGAACTAGTGAGATTTTGAGACCTGGTTACTGCACCTTCATCGCATCAAGTCTGCAAAGCACAAACTCACACCCTCAGATGAGCTAACTAGCTTGAGATCTACCCACCTGAGATAAATATTTCAGATGTTTGAGAATGAATAATGGAGAGGGAGGTTTGGGCATATCTACACTTCTGAACCCATGCAAAGTCAGCAGTTCACACATATCCTAAACAGCCAATTTGAATGATAGGAACAAAAGTTCAAACATGCTAATCCTTCCTGTGTTACTGAGCACACTTTTTAAAAACTCTTATTAGCTCTGTAAGGTCATTTAAGATAATTGAAATTAAATCCCATTTTTATCTTGTGTTAGGTTTATCAAGATTTGGTGTAAATGGTCCAGAGGGATATCCAGGACGGAAAGGAATTAAGGGAGAGAGAGGACAACCTGGAATGAATACTGTGGGATCTCCAGGACTTCCTGGGCTTCCAGGCAGTCCTGGCTCTATAGGATTACCAGGTCATCCTGGACAACCAGGTACAGCATAGATTTTGCACAATTGTTTATATAATGGGCCAGATTATGGTCTCAATTACACTGGTACAAATCCAGAATAATTTCAATATTCCCAGAATTGGTTGGTATCACTGAGATCAGAATCTAACCGAGTGTCTTTAACACTTCAGCGTATTCTCAAGACGCTACTTCTGAATAGTCTGATTGAATGGGATTTCCAAAGAGCAAATGCTTATGTGCACTATTAACAGAAACAGTGAGTGTAAAAAGGTGCTGTGTTCCATCATTCTTCTGAGATTCTGTTAAAAAGGGGGGGGACTTCTCAGCATTACAGGGAGTTGGAAGTTTTGTGCAAGAGTGACTGTATATATCTACTGCACGGTGAGGAAGAAGGAATAGGCATGAAGGACACCCTGGTGATGTTAAAAGAAGGCCTGTTTGCAAGGTTGACATTTCCTAGATTTACTGTAGTTTTGAGCAGTAAATTAAACAGGAGCCAATTCAAACCCCATTGAAATCAGTGGCAAAGCTCTCACTGACTTCAGGGGGCCTTGAAGCAGTAATTGTGTGTGAAAATATACAATGCTGTTAAAAGATACGTACAAAATGGGGTGACCAGCTGAGTAAATGGAGGCTATAAAAATTGAGGAAGATGCAAACTCAGTGGAATTCAAATAGGTATGCCACATGGAACCATTTTTATTCAAAGTAGCAATTAATGATAAAGCCAAATGAAGAGTACTGTACTTTGTATTACAAAAAGTAGGGTTTGCAATTTGTATTAGCCCAGGTGTTATTGTTGGTAATATGTAGTGCTATTTCTAAAGGTTCTTCTGTTGTTTTGAGGTAGCTGAGTATGCCAAAAGCAGCAAGGATAAAGAGACATGAGCAACACAAATTTGAGGTTCAGGGTTTCCTCTTTTGTTCCCCTTCATCTGGAATCACAGAACTCTGTTTTTTAAAGGTTATCACTCAAGTAGCACAAACATATCCAGCAATCCAAATGAGATTTATCCCTGCTTTAATAAATTTTTCTCTGGTACTTCCAAGTACAAGGCCTTGTAAGTATTTCTCCACATTTTTAGATGTGTTTAATCTAAGATTGTTCTCCATTTTAGCCCAAATATCCTCTATAATCCATCATGGTGGTATCTATCTCTCTTTCTCTTTGCAAAAACTAAACCTCTGTGAACAGTCTGAAAAGTTAATGTTGTCATACTCATCCTATCATCAGGTAAAGTAACATTTGAAACACACCCACCAGGAGTTCCAGGAAACCCCGGATGTGTGGGACCTCCAGGACTTCCAGGAGATAGTGGAATAAAAGGTCAGCAATCATGTTGAGGGGTCATGTGTGTGAGAGTGTTTGTAAATATGTTCCTAGAATTAATTTACTATTGATTCATGTGGGAGCAACACGATGCCAGAAACTTCATTCAATCTTTCTATCAAACAGCAAATTGTTCCATGTTCAAAAAAGGTGCTGTAACTTACAGCAAACAATAACTGAGCTAAAAAATGAGTTTGTCAAGATTCAATACAGAGCTAAATGTGATTGTTCTACTGTTTGTCAGACTAAATAACTGGATCCAGTTCTGCTGTCACTTACCTCATTTTCATGTGAGTGTAACTCCACTGTGTGCATGAAGGTTTCTATAATACATAGACACATGTGAGATCAGGATTCGGCCATGCTGTGATAAATGTGAACTAATAACTGCTTTTCAACTAAGAATCAAGATATGAAGATAGATTAAAAGTTATTATGCTGATTCTGGCTACTCTTTGGGAATTATCAATCAGAAATCAATTAGCTAATAATTGATTTTGTATTTGCAGAAGTTATCCATATTTTCCTTACAAAAACAGCAAGAGGGCCAGTGCTCCTTACTGCTCCCCTCCCCATCCTGCCACTGAAACCACATAACTACTCCAATGGGACAAAGGGCAATTCTTCTCCGGACAATGGAGATGGGGAAGGAAGGAAGAGAGAGTCGCACACTCTCATGAACCTCACCTCTTTCTGCCTACAGTGCCATGTGGGAGAGGAGGCTGGAAATAGGGTCTCCATGTCTGGGCCTCTATTTGTCCCCCTATAGATCATATCACATGGGCTACTGCAGCTCTGTGTTTTCTAATGTGCTGTTGATGACAACTTCTAGGGTCACCCAGCCTGTTGTGGAACTATCATGAGTAGGAGTTAAAGACCAGTGCAAGCCGCCTTCTTGCTTTTACAGGATTTGGCTAAAATGACTGTGTTTCTCAGCAGAATGCTAAAGTAGTGAACAAAAACCAGGCAATTGAAATTGGGTGATCCTGTCTTTTAATTGACAGTGCTGTAGGCTTTGGTGCCAGGAGATAAGCCAGGAAATCCTTGATTATTGACAAGCAGTAACTAAATGAAGTTGTATTCTTAATGTTTGCACACCTCTTTGACTTAGGAGATGTTAAGTTGTGCCTAACCAACCACTATCTCCCTAAATAATGAGTGTGCCTGGGATAAACTATTCACTGAACACATAGATGTAATTTGCCACTATAACAAATAGTGACAGATGGTATAATTTTGTTCCAGGTGAAGAAGCAAGTCCTTGTCATCAATGCAGTTTTATGCCAGGAGGACCTGGACTTCCCGGTGCTCCAGGGCCAGAAGGCCAAAAAGGAGCTACTGGTAAAATACCCTGCTTTACTAAATAGTTATTAGGAAATGCCAGCCACCATATTTAGCTGCACAAATCCAAGAGTATTCACTCAATTACAATGAAATACTTCTTTTAATCAATACTCAAAATTGTCTGAAACTGGAATTTGGGGTCCAGGGACTATATTACGGATGTAAAATCCCATTTAATTGGTTAACCAGTTAAACGTAATGTTTAATTGGTTAATCGCTTAAACGGGGGCAGGTGCACAGCATAGTGTAATGGGCGAGGCTGGAGTGCCCACACATGGCATGGCATGCTGGCCAGGCTGGAGTGCCTACGGCATGGTATCGGGGGCTGGCGGGCTGGGGCTCCATGCCATGGGGGCCTCCGCAAAACTATATTGCTTACTTTGTTGCAGTCCTGGATCGCAGGGCTCAGTGCCCTGGGATTCAGCCCCATACAGTGGGCTTTGGATATCTTCCCTGGGCTTCAGCAACTCCCAATGCTGGCTCTGGACCTGCTTGAAACTTTTCCAAATGCCCCTGGACCTCTGCTTGAGCACCACTGTCCTAACAGATAAAGTACAGGATGAATTATTGGTGTCTGCTACCCACCACCAAATCACAGCAGGGAACAAGATACCTGCCTCCTTATACATCCATCTATAATTGTTTTTTTTTGGGGGGGGGGACCTTTATGATCATGGGGACTTCAATTAACATGATATATCCTGGAAGTTTTATGTTGCTAGTAGTAAAACATTCTTGGAATTATTAATCTTTATATATGATAATTTCTTACTAAAGTGTTGCAGCCAAAAGCTGGAGAATTCATTATTAGAATTTGTCCTAACAGATAAAGTGGAACTAATCACAGAACTAAAAGTTAATGGTAGCTTATGTAGAAGTGAATATGACTTAATCACACATATAATGTTCAAGTAGATTAAAATTGAGAGCAGTATTTTATTTACACACACAAACAGACAAACATACACACACACTTGGTGCTTTAATAGGACCAGTTTCACAATACTGAAAACAATTGTGAGCCAAATCAATTGGGAGAAAGAATTTAATAAGAAAAATGCAACTGGTGTTTGAGAGTGATTTCAGAACACCTTACTAGATGCCAAAAAAGCCACAATTGAGGAAGAAGGCTGTGATTAAAAAACAAACCTGGTTTAAAGGGGAAGTGAAATCAGCTGTAAATAAATAAATATGTATAGCTATATAGATATATGAAATGAATGGTGAGAAGAAGTTGATTGTAATGAATGTAAACCAGAAGTTAAGAATTGTAGAAAATGTATAAGGAAAAGTCAAGGGATACAAGGAGAACTCTATGTCCAGCAGAGTTAATGTAATTAAAAAAGAGAGGGATCCTTTTAAATATATAGAAACATAATGAATCCTGACTATGTTATTGATCCATTACTAAATGGAAACGATAGAATTCTCAGTAACAATTAGGGATACAAAGAGTTAACTGGTTACCCGGTAATCATTCGCCTTATGGCATACTTAGCAGGGTAACTGGTTAATCAGCACCTAGACTGTTGGAGTAGCCACCGCCTGCCCAACCAGTCCCACAGCACAGCATAGCAGGCCCGTTTACCTATTGAACATATTATTTAACCTGTAAACATTTTAAATGACATTTTACATCCCTAGTAATAATGCAGAAAAGGCAAAAGTATTCAATAAATATTTGTGTTCTATATTTGGGGTGGGATATGATATAATCTCATCATGTTGATAACACTGTTTCCCTTCCCCTAGACTCTTGCATCCAAGAGTTTTAAAATATCAGACTGAGGAGTTCATTGGACTGTTAATGTTGATTTTCTATAAGCCTTGGGATACTCGGGAAGATTCAAAAGATTGGAAGAAAGCTAATGTTGTGCCAATGTTTTTAAAAGGGTAAACAGGTGACCCAGATAATTTTAAGCCTGTCAGACAGACAGCTATCCCAGGCAAGATATATGCTATGACTGATAGGAGGCTTGATTAATAGAGAACTAAAGGGAGGGTAATGACAATAATGCAGCTCAACATGAGTTTATGGAAAATAGATCCCATCAAACTAATTTGATATCATTGTTTGATGAGGTTACAAGTTTGGTTGATAATGGTTACAGTGCTATCGTAATATACTTACACTTCTGTAAAGCATTTCATTTGGTAATGCACAACATTTTAATTGAGAAAACTAGAACAGTATATAAATAACATGGCACGCATTTAATGGATTAAAAATTGGCTAACAATCAGTCTTAAAATGTAACTGTAAATGAGGACTTGTCACTGAGTGGATCTGTTTTGAGTGAGGCCCACAGAGATTGGTTTTTGGCCCTATACAATTTAGCCTCTTTATCAATGACCTGGGAAAAAATACAAAATCATCACTGTACAATTAACACACAAGTTGGGGGAATGCAACATAACAAAGAGGACAGATTCAGAGTCATCTAGGTTGCTTGGTAAACTTGGCACAAGCAAACTATTCATTTCAATGCACCTAATGTAAGTATATACATTGGGGGAAAGAATATGGTCCATATTTACAAGATACGGCACTCTATTATGGGGAGAAGTGACTCTGAAAAGGTTGTGGGGGTCATGGTGAATAATCAGCTGAACATGAGCTCTGAGCTTGATGCTGTGATTAAAAAATTAATAGGCTCCTGGGATGCATAAACGACTGAATCTTGTGTAGAAATAGAGAGGTTATTTCATCTCTGTGCATGGCACTGCTGCAACCACTGCTGGAATACTGTGTTCAGTTCTGATTCCCACAGTTCAAGAAGGATGTAGATGAGTTGGAGAAGGTCCAGAAAAGAGTCACGAGAATGAGTAAAGAAGTATTGGTGGACTCAAGAAGCTTAATGTATTTAGTCCCGTGGTCACCAACCAGTAGATCGTGATCTACCGGTCGATCTCAGGGGCTCTAAGAGTAGCTCTTGAGCCCTCTCTGAACTGCGCGCTTGCGCAGGACATTTACATTAGATTTCCTCATTTGAGGAGCAGCTACTCACCAAGCAACAACACAGGTGAGTAGCTGCGAGGAGTAGTGGGAGCAGGGAGGTCGGGAGGGCTGAAATACCCCAGCCAGCTGACTGTGGCTTTCAGCTGAAAGAGGCTGCCCCGCACTCCAGCTGATCGGTGGCTTCTCCTCTGCGCCTGCCCACATGGAGCATGGTGCAACCTGGCTGAGCGCCATGGCCAGCTGGCCGGGCAGCTGCTTCTCTTCCCTCCAGCCCGGCTGCCCTGCGCTCAGCCCAGGGAGGCTGCGCCTAGCTCCAGCTGTGCTGGAGCAAGCTTCCCAGTAAGTAGCTGCTCATCAAATGAGGAAATCAAATGTAAATGTACTGCGCAGGCACGCAGTTCAGACAAGGCTCAAGATCGACCCTTAGAGCCCCTGAGATTGACCGGTAGATCGCAATCTACTGGTTGGTGACCATGGCTCTAAAGGATGATATGGCTCCGACGCAGGTTTTGGAAGAGCTTCCTTGACCTGAGTGTGAATAGACCCTACATATTTCATTAAGGCTTTACAGTAATTTAACATCTACTATATGTAGATCAAAGTGATGCGGTGCTGTAGGCGGGGTGTGTAATAATCTCATGGGCCTACCAGATAAAATTTTGTGGGGAGATAGCCCATGTTTCCTATTCCCTATACCCCGATATACATTAAGGCCAAAGGTAATGCATCTGGACAATTAAGGTCAGAGTCCTCACAGATTTTAGCTAATTTGGTCTTTAGCTCAGAGTTTTTTCTTTCTACCGCTCCACTGGACTGTGGATGGTACACACAGTGTAAATGCTGTTGGATTCCTAGAGCAGCACATACCTTTTGAACTACTTGTCTTGTGAAATGAGTTCCCCGGGTACTGTCTAAAGAAAGAGGCACTCCGAACCGGGGGACTAATTCTCTGAGGAGTTTCTTGGCAACTGTATGTTTATAAGGATAAGCTTCTACCCATCCCGAAAACATATTAATGATTACAAGAATGTACTCATATACACAAGATTTAGGCATTTGTACAAAATCCATTTGTAAATTCACAAAGGGTCCCCACAGTGGGGGGGGGAGGGTTGCTGCAATTTTAGTTTTTCTATGCCACAATCAGCCCTGGGCTTACACACAGATGAGGGGTTATACAGCCCAATCTCTCCAACCCAGAACAGACGCACCCAGTTCCAAAGAACCAGCCATGAATCCCTGGTCAATTTATACTTTAGATCTTACCCACAAGATCACAGTGGACCAATCCTTTAGAATCTAAATGTTTATTAATAAAAGACAGAAAAGGTTGAGAATAAGGCTGTTAAGGAGAATATATTATATACATCAATCAGCAAGTTCTTGATGCAGGATCTTAGTGGAGATGTTACAAACTACTAGCATAAGTCTTTCAGGTACATCGTATGTCAGGATGGGTCAGCAATCCTTCCCGTGTCTCTGTCCTTAGCAAGGCTGCTTCTCGGATAAGTAGCAAGACTGAAGACAAGATGGAGCCCCCCTCATGGCATTTGATATTCATTTCTGGTGTCTCCCAAGCTGCAGCTAATCACATGGTCAAGTGACCTGTTTCATATTCCAGCAGCCATTGTGCTCTGGCTGCTTTCCAGCTTTCCACACGCATTCTTCAGGTGTGTATTGGACACCCTGAGAACCATTGTCCTTGGAGCTATACTGATTAGCATAGTCACTCATTGGACATTCTGTCCCCATGACAGGCAGTCCATACACAGCTTCAGCAGAGCCCATATTCATAACTCCCCATACAAACTCCAAACAAGTACACAAATACCATACACAGAATCAGCACAATATCAGCTTTCGTTTGACACCTCACACGGCCCACTTTGTACCAAATTTGGGGCAAACAGTTCCTCGTGATCACAGCAGTTACCTGTA